CAACATTTTGAAGGCAAACGCACTTGCTATATTTAATTACTCGATGATTTACTATTTTCTGAATATAAAAAAAGCACTGCGGAAAATTGAATATTTTTTCAAATCAGTAACAAGTATTCATTTATACTTTTTTTATGAAAAATATTCAATCACCCTTGAAAAAGCTTTATATATTCTCTAAAATCTATTTTATAGAAAGAAACGAACGGAAGTATTTTAGTTAATTAAAAAAAATAAAAGCTTGATTTTATGCATATTTTTTTTATTTGAAATTAAGAATGATAAAATATTATAAATTTTAAAATTTAATAAAATTTTTTTAAATAGAAATTGTTGTTAAATTGATAATAAATTGAAAGAATTTCACGTCAAAAATTAAATTAGCAAATACAAAAAATGAAGTGATAATAGCTTAAAGCTTAAAATTTGCATATCGAATAACAGTTTTTACATGAAACGAAAACAATGCAAGCCAGAAATTATTATTATAACAAAAATGAAAATTGCGCATGGAAGAGTGAAATTGACATGAAAGTAACTTCTAAGCACTCAATTTTACCTAAAAGCATCGATGAAGCATCGAAGAAACCTAACAGAAGAAGTGGCCATCACGCTTCTATAGTATCTTTCTGCCATTCGAAATCATTTTTGGATAATTCTGCTCAGAATAACTAGTTTGCATCAGTTTGACTAATCCACAAAAAATTACTTAAATTCTTTTAAAAAGTTATCATTAACTGAAACTAATTTTAAAATTTATTCTCAAACTGATGCAATAAAGTATAATGAGTGTGAAAATATAACTAAGATGATAAAGTACCAATTAATTAGTAACTAGTAATAATTATTTTTTATTTTGGGATTAATTAAATCCTCAAAAAATTCCATTTTTTTGAGTTTTGCTTCTCAATTAACTACAAAAATTTTCTGCTAAGTAATTATGCTCAGTTATAATTTTAAGCTGTCATATTTTGATGAATAAATTTGGAACAACAAAAAATTAATAATTATTATTAATATTGTTGCAAATTATTGTTGTGATAATTTTTTTCATAATTATAAAAGCAATAAAGTACAATAAGTATGGAAATATAAGTAAAATGATAAGGTATCAATTATTTTATAATTATAAGTAATAAAAATTATGATAACTAAAAATTATAATAATAATTTGATGTCCACTATTTTAACTGTAGTGGCCATCAAATTGTTATTATTTTAAGATTGTTAGTTTAGTTTGACATGCTTTTATAATTGTAAATTATATCCAAATATGGCAGCAGGCAGTATACTTAAATGTTTAATTATTATTTTTGATATCTTTGGTGTAGAATTTCAAAAAAAGAATATTAAACAATGTAATTAATTTTATTATTTTTATCACTGTCAATTTATTAAGAATCTTTTTTACAAAATTTAAAATATCAGTTTCAGAAGTGAAGTTCAACTTGAAATTTAACTACAATACTCTGTGACTTTTATTTAAAAAAACCACGTGCATGCTAGCGCTATAAACGTTTTATGAAAATTTTATTTATTGATAAATAGTTAATCAAACGTTAGAAAAAAAGTTATGTGCAAATATGGCAGCAGGCAGTACACTTAAATGTTTGATTATTATTTTTTATATTTTTTATTATGAGATTTAAGTTTATAATATAAGTTTATAATTTTCAGTTTATAATTGCATTTGCATTTGTATTTGACACGTTCATGTAAGAATTTGAGCATGTTTAAAATAACATAAATATAATTTTAAAAGCATTCAATTTTGTAAGCAACAAAATAGCTGCATGTAATTTCATTTTAATAAGTATAATTTACTTTAATGATATAAAAAAATAGCGTGTCATAATTTGCATGGTAGTTATATTAATTAGTTTGCAAAACTTTAATTGGTTGTATTGAGCAAAGATTCATTTTCAAGTGAAAAATTATTTTCTCGAGTTTATACTTACTGTGAAAAACTAGGGATTTACTTTTCCATGCACTGTATAAAACAAAATCTCCAAATTTATTTGTATTCTGAATAAAAATTTAATTAGTGAAATTTTGCATATCTTGAGTAAAAATTTGTTTATATAATAAGTGAACTTTTGCATACTTTGGGTAAAAATTTGCATATTTTGAATGAAATTTTGCATATTTTGAGTGAAAATTTGCATATACAGTGAGTGAAATTTTGCATATTTTGAGTGAAAATTTGCATATACAGTGAGTGAAATTTTGCATATTTTGAGTAAAAATTTGAGTATATGATGAGTAAGAATTTGCATATTTTTCGTTTAATTTAATTTATTGTTTTCATGGCAAGTAACTAATTACGTAGAATCTTCAAGAATTAATTTTTGTGGAAATAAGAATAAACAAAAATTATATAAATTTTTGAGATATGAAATGTTCTATCCTCTTAAATTATAAATCCTTCATCCTTGTTGTTACAAAAGTATATAATTTCATATCTGATGTCAGAGGTCGTTATCTGAATGAAAAGTACACTAACTGTATATTTTATCAAAACAGTCTGCACATTATCAATATTCAAAATTTTCACTTAGTTATTTGAAGAATTTGCTTAATTTTCTGTAGGAAATTTCAGCGCTATCAATTCCAGCACAGTTTTTATTGCATTCTGAAGAAGAACTGTTAAAGAAGTTCGTGTTCAGCATTAAAATCCAAGCTGTTCAAGGAGAATCAGATTAACTATTAGTCAGTCCGTACGTCAGCACGCAAAAATGTGAACTTTGCTCAATGAATTTCTTTTTTTTTGCGTGAACAACAGCTGAATTGCTAAAATCTGCTCAACTTTTATCGCAAGGATATAATTCCTTTCTGAGCAGATTCTTTAAAACTTCGTAAAGATCTTTTGAAAATAGACAAGCATTCACTTTTATGAGTGCTTGCAGTGGTTATTCTGGTTTTCTTTCGGTGTCAGGTACCACTATGTACTGATAAAATTATTTGTAGATAGTTCTCTTTTTTTTAATCTAATGTTTTACAACATAAATTTTTAAAAATCAAATCATCTTATAAATTAACAGATCTAGGGTGTGAATTCTGTACTGATTATTCTACAAGAAATATTAAAACATGGATGATGATGATGGTAATAAGGGCATTCGGAATAGACTAATTTAAGTGTTTCTTTATTGTTCTCACGGAGTCATCGGTGCAAAAATGGTTGTAAATTTCTTGAAATGTTTGTCACCTTAAAAAATTACGGTAAATATTCAACAATAAAATAACTTAATGATAACTATTTTGCAAGAATAGCTTGTTTTTCTGTTTTTCAGTGATTCTGTAATTTTTTTAACCATATGGATCAACAGATGCAGTTTACAATGAACAATGGACAATGGACAAATGGGTTGACAATGAATCAACATATGCAGTTTATTCAAACTCAGGGGATCGTCAATATACCGTGATATTGTAACATGGAAAGATGAATAATTTTTGAAAGATTCAAATGTACTGAAAATTTGAAATTGGATTGAGAGTGATTTTTTTAAATACGATATTTTTTCACGTCAAATACTTGCAAGTAATAAAAAAGCACGTAATCAGCTTATCATTTTGATTATTACGAATGGAATTTACTTTCTACGTGGTAGTAGTAGATCAATCATTGAAACTGTGATTGTGATATACTTATATAGATGAACTTTTTGGTATGGAGTGCTGCTCTAGAAAGCAAATATTTTTGATGTAATTTTGATAGCAACCGTTTCTTGTATTTAAATAATGCTCTACTATTACTTTTGATATATCAGTTTGTAGCATTTGATTTTTGTGCATCCACAAAATCAACTTTTTTGTGTATATTCATTCTTCAATAGTGTTTATATACAAACTATGTATATTGTTTTTTATTTTGAGACGAACATCAGAAATGAGAAACTGAGCTTCAAAAATTAAAGCGTTATCTTCGTTGGTGCCTAAGCTTGAGTTATTATATTTCATTTTTTGAATCTGTGACAAGTTTCTCAATGAGTACGAAACTTTGCAGAAGCAAATTGCGCATAAGATTCAAGTTAGACTTTTTCACACGTAGTCACTATTTAGATAAAAGTATTAACGTTGTCTTACACATTTACACTGATATTACCAGGAACTATTGAAAGAGTACTTTGGAATTATTAAAATGAATATCTTTGACTGCCAATGTAAAATTTTTTTTTTGTAGAAAGTGTAAATGCTTATATACAAATTATATATATTGTTTTTATTGAGACGGACATCAGAAATGAGAAACTGAGCTTCAGAAATTCTTGCATACTAATAAATGACCTCTCGAGATCTTGACTTACAAGAATAGCTTTCCGTTTAATTGATCTGTGATAGATCAAATTCGTTTTGTGAATACTTTTGACTGCTAATGTAAATTTATTCTGAGAATCACTGCAAGACTTGAAATTAGAATTATGCGAACTGAGACTCATTTGTAATGTCTAAATACAAAATATAATTCACATGAATTGTATTTTTCAAGTGAGAGTGAATGCCACCGAATAGTTTATGACTGCTGCGATATGACCTTCTGAACAGTTTGAATACTTCAC